TAACATGTCATAAAGGTATACCTAAAACATACAAAAAAGTGAGTATGCAAAAATGCTGAAATTGGAGTAAGGTCTGTAGTCCAATTAATTGTATTTTGCCAACCAGTTACCTGGTTTTGATAATGTACTATGGTTATATAAAATATCACCATTGGGGGAACTGGCTAATGGGTGCACCTCTTTATACTGTTTTTGCAACTTCTTAGGAGTCTTAAATTATTTCAAAATAAAAAGTTAAAGAGAGCCCTGGCTGGGTAGCTCAGTTGGTTGGAACGTTGTCTTTATATGTCAAGGTTACAGATTCAATACCAGTTAAGGCACAAGAATCAACCAATGAATGCATAAATAAGTGGAACAACAAGTTGATGTTTCTCTCTTTTCTCTCTCTCTCTCTCTCTCTCTCTCTCTCTCTCTCTCTCTCTCTCTCCCCCTTCCCCTCTCTGTCTAAAATCAATCAATAAAAAAAAATTTTTTAAGGGCGTTAGAGAGTGAGAACAAGTAGAGCATGATGGAGGAGGGGAAGAGAAAGAAAAAAATGAAGGCTTCCAGGCAAGAAGCGGAATAAAAAAGACTTATTTACCCTTCTACCTAAAACACCACCACAACTTTCTAAATAGACAAAATACATAAAAAACAGTTTCCAAGACACTAATATTAGTAAATGAAATAGAGTGATCACTGAGAGAAAGGAAACAAAATAATCCCCTCCTAACTGCCTCGAGAATCTCCAGGCTATGGTGAGTACAGAGGGGAAATGCATCTATTATGGAACCCGGCAGACTCCCTGAGTTGAGAAGAGTCCACAGAGACTAAGCAAGCTATAGTTCATAGGACAGAATACCAGAGGGAACAGAGCCTGGTGCTTACACAGGTCCAGGAATAATGCCTGCTCTACTGGCCAGACTGGAAAAAATTATAACTCATGGAGCATTAGGTAGAGGACTAAGTAGTTGGAAACAATTAACCCTAGACTGAGCACCCCTCCTCTGCCTAACAAATTATAAAAGCAAGAGATGAAAGGCTTAAACTATTACCAAGTAACTTAACTGCATCCTTGAACAAAGCTAAAGATTTACAGGAATACAAAAATATTCAGCGCCCAACAAAATAAAATTCACAATATCTGGCATCCAATCAAAGGTTATCAGACACGCAGAGGCAAGAAAACATGACCCATAATGAGGAGAATATCAATTGAAACCCACCCAGAACAGACACAGATGTTAGCATTAGTGGAGAAAGAAAATAAAAGTTATAGCTGTATTCCACATGTTGGAATAAAGTTAAGACATGGAAAATATTTTTTAAAAAACCGAAATTGAATTTCTAGAAATAGAACTGAAAACTATAATGTCTGAAATGAAAAATTCAGCAGCTAGGATTAGGCATAGAAGATTTGAGGAAGAAAAAGTCTCTCCAAGAATATTTCTTGGGCAAAATTGGTTAATTGTATACTTGCTCAAAACCTAGAGTATGATTATCTTTGTTCTAATTTCAGGTAGTTGAGAGAAAAATACAATGATAGGCACCATTAAAACTAGCTCAAAAATATTTTGCCAGTAAATATTTGTTGTCAAGATATCTTGGTTTGCATTTCTGTTGAGAGAACTGTAAACAGTTAAACCATGTTGACAACATTAAGATAATGGTTATGGAATTGTGTGTGGTATTAGAGGTTTTGTTTGTGAAATACATGCATTAAAATAATTAAATTTCAGCATAATTATTTTCATGTTGTTTTATAAGTATGATTTATTTTCCTAGCCAGCTGGTAAGCTTTTTGAGGGTACTAACATGTCTTTTTACATCTTTTGACCCTCCCTGAAATACTTAGCATGGGGCTTCCCATTGTGGGTGGTCAGTAGAGTTTACACTGTAAAAGAGGGAATCCTCCAACTATGATGCACTGAAGTTTATTCTGGGGCTAATAAGGCAGCACCAGAATGATCCCTCTGAACCAAAAATATGTAAATAAACAAAGCCTGTTATAGGGTTTGGGGAAGAGGGTGCAAAAACTTATGTCAGTGCTTATCTCAAGCTTATTTTAAACCAGAGAACTAAATTATGCAAATGATTCCTTAGAGCCCTATCTTTAGCCACAGCCAGTGCTGATTAGGTCAGGCACATTTAGGGTTCATGGCTAACACTTCTCGACTAGGCATTTGAGGAAATAAATAAATTTGGAGATTTATATATTTGGGTGGATTTGGACAGAGCAAATTTAGAGTGCAAATGCTAGAGTTTAAAAATGTCCTAAGGAGAAACTTTTCTCCCCATTTAATGGAAGCCAAACCATTGGGGGTAGGGTGGGCATTTCCCATTTCTTGGTCAAATAAACATTGTCTGGTTTTCATTGGCAAAGGCATTTAAATAAGGAGCAAGGTTTTTGCAACCCCAAGTTCCAATATGTGTTACAAGATTTTTTAAGGAAAGGATTTATAAACTTTGCAAATTAGAGTAGAGTCTCCACAGGTTCAGGTCAAAGTATGAAGGGCTTTTAGTAAATTACTTTTTGGCAAGATAGAGCTATTTTAAGGAACCTACGTGTAATTTTGTAAACTACCTTATTTTTTTTAGTATTGTCTCTAAGCTAAAATTGTGTTCATTTTGTGTTCAAATTGTGTTCATTTTGTTGGTACCAGCAGCACCATGCGTGGCCTCTGCTGCTGCAGAAGGAAATAGGCAGATTGGCTTCTCTCTCCATAAGCAAGAAAATGCATTATTAGGAAGGTGACAAATAATATATAAGGAAAAAAATTGTAGATATTTGGGAAAACCTTCCTATTTTTTATGCTTTGCCTATTGATGCTAAATAGTGTAGAAAAATAATAAAGTTAGAGAACCTATGTTCAAGATTTTCTGTTCTGCCCTCTATGTTTATTTGAATCACTAGGAAAAAGAAATTCTGTGTTATAGAAAGACTACTTGGTACAGGTGCCTCAAAATCCTGACCTACTGAATGCAGCACAGGCATAGAAAGAACAAATTCAGAGCTGAACCCCTTAATAATGAAGTTAGGGGGGAAAGAGAAGCTTCTAACACAAGGATTTACTAATGGGAATCGTAATGGTATTAAAAATATAGCAAGAGAAGTAGAAGGAAAAACTCTAGAGCAGTGGTTCTCAACCTTCCTAATGCCTCGACCCTTTAATACAGTTCCTCATGTTGTGGTGACCCCAACCATAAAATTACTTTCCTTGCTACTTCATAACTGTAGTTTTGCTATTGTTATGAATCGTAATGTAAATATCTGATATGCAGGATGTATTTTCATTGTTACAAATTGAACACAAAGCATAGTGATTAATCACAAAAACAATATGTAATTATATATGTGTTTTCCAATGGTCTTAGGTGACCCCTGTGAAAGGGTCGTTCAACCCCCAAAGGGGTCGCGACCCACAGGTTGAGAACCTCTGCTCTAGAGGAAGTCATTGAATACTCAGCTGTGTTCTGGGACAGATACAGTGACCTCTAAGACATAAATAAGATTATGGTTCAGATTAAATGGGAGATGCAATAATTCAGAGAAGAATTTGTATCAAAGAAGCACTTAACACAAAGATTGGATGGTACAAAGCACCTTTTCATCAGCTGAGAACATTATATGGTACCACCAAAGGAAAAACAAATTATACTAAAGAAAAGGATTGCCTGATTTGTGTGCTTGGATTTAACAAGGAACATTTATATGATGAATTGAAATAGTATATTTACAGCTCCTCAGTACAAATTTGACTGGGTTCTTAAGGACAGAATTGCAATGGAGTGCCAGAAGTGGTGTAACAACTTAATTACCTTGATGGTGAGAAAAAAACATAGAACTAGAAGAATTGAGATGGGAAATGAACCAGTGAACTAGCTCTATGAATGCCACAGCCTATTACCTTGAGAGAATTTCCAGGCTGCAGGGCACAGAGGGGTAAGAGGCAGAGCCAACAGACTCCCCAGAGAAGGGGACTGAACTGAGCATCTAGGGCAAGTATGTCAAACTCAAAGGCTACCACGGGCCAAATAAACGAGGCATGTGGCCTGTGGGCCGCGAGTTGGACATGCTTGATCTAGGGAGACCAGGGCTGCTGGAGTTCACAGGAGAGTTCCAGAGAGTAGGCAGCTGTAAAGGGTGCCCATGAGCATTCAGCAAAGTACTGATCACCCTGTGTGTGAGGAAACTACCTAACACTTCCTACAATGGGAATGAACTTCAAAACAATTATGCTGAGTGAAAGAACCCAGATTTTAATAAAGTGTGCATACTGTAGGATTTCATTTATTACAATTTTAAAAAATGGCCGAAACCGGTTTGGCTCAGTGGATAGAGCGTCGGCCTGCGGACTCAAGGGTCCCGGGTTCGATTCCGGTCAAGGGCATGTACCTGGGTTGCGGGCACATCCCCAGTGGGAGATGTGCAGGAGGCAGCTGATCGATGTTTCTCTCTCATCGATGTTTCTAACTCTCTATCTCTCTCCCTTCCTCTCTGTAAAAAATCAATAAAATATATTTTTTAAAAAAAATGAACTAATCCGTTGTGATTGCTGAGGGATGGGGGTAGAGGGGTCTGGAGGTAACAGGTAGGGAGGCACAGGAGGGAAAGATTACAAAGGGGCACAAGGAAACTTGTAGGTGTGATAAATATGTTCATTATCTTGATTGAAGAAATGGTTTCACGGGTTTTTTACATATTCTAAAACTTAATACATTGCATACTTTATATACATGTCATTTATTTGGTCAATTGTGCTCATGTAAAGCTCTTTTTTAAACTTGGATGCAAAAAAATACAACTAAAAAACAGTAGCTTCCCTTTTAGGGTTGTTCTGAGAAAATGAAAGGAGGGATCAAGCCCAGGTAACCTTTGTAACTCTTTCCCAACTCTATCACAACTAAGATTTTTTGTTGTTCCAAAGCATTTTTGGTTTTAAAGATATATTGTTAGGATCTATGTAGTCAAATATTGCTATTGTCACTCAAGATATAAGTTCATGCATTTTGTGTTTCAGGGCTCATGAATCAAGGAAGCAAACTTGAAAAATGGATTAAGGCTGATGCCCCAAAAGGCACCGTAAGTTTTAGAAATCAAAGCTGGTTTCAGTCCCTGAAACTGCAGGACTGAATGGTTTGAGCCCGGCCGGTGTGGTTCAGTGGTTGAGCGTAGGCCTATGAACCAGGAGGTCACAGTTTGATTCCTGGTCAGGACACACGTACAGGTTTTGGGCTCGATCCCCAGTAGGGGGCGTGCAGGAGGCAGCCAATTAATGATTCCCTCTCATCATTGATGTTTCTATCTCTCCCTCCCCCTCTCTTTTTTAAAAAAGGAATGATTTAAGTTGTATTTATAATTTTAATAATTAGTAGATCAATGGCTACAAAAATACCACTGTTCATATAAATATTGAAAATAACAAATTGTATGAGTATTGGTGAATTGTGTTTTTTGGGGGGGGGTGTCAAAATTTGTACTTACCTATTGTTTTAGTTTCCTTATTGCTCTGTAACATATTGCTACAAACTTATCGACTTAAAATAACACTCATTTAACAGCTCACAGTTCTGTAGGTCAAGAGCCTGGGCTAGATTCTCCATTCAGGGTACCCATCAGGCTGAACTCAAGATGTTGGCTGGACTGAGTTCTCATTTGGCTGCTCTGGTAAAATAAAATAAATCTTCCAAGCTCATTCTTATTGGTGGTAAAATCTTGTTCCTTGTGACTGTATGAGGTCTCCATTTTCTTGCTGTTGGCATTTGCTCTAAGCTTCTAGAGACTAACTATATCCCTTCTCATATGGCCCTGATCATCTTCTAGGCAGCAATGATGCATTCAGTCTTTCTAATACTTCTGACCTGTTCTGCAGCCACATGGAGAGAACTCTGCTATTAAAGGGCCCACTTGATTAGGTCAGGCCTACCCAGGATAATCTTTGTTTTGTCATATAATATAACATAATTATGAGAGTGATGTCTCACATATTCACAGTTTCCACTCATACTCAAGAAATTATACAAAGACATAGGTAATAGGGGGAGGGGGTTAGGGAGTTATTTCAGAATTTTTTGTACCATAGGTCTTATGTAATGTTTTCTACTTGTATTTATTATGACATCAAAGTAAATTTAAGTTGTGAATAAAACACATCATAAATATGATGTAATTGTTACTGATTTTTCATTTATTTTGCATAATTTAAGACATAACTTGTTAGTGGGAGAGAAACATTCAGCTATTTTGTAGCCTGATGTTTGAAGATAGATTTTCACTTGTATAATGATGTATTATATAAAGTTATTTTATGAATTCTCTTTCTTTCAAACCTTATTTGTCTACTCCTAGAACATTTAAATTAACACTGAAAGACTACCTAGTAGATTAGATTTTTTATGATTAGGATACATCAGTTCTTAAACACTAATTTCTGCTATACCTTTCCAAATAGTGTGATTTATAATAGTCTCTTTTTGTTAATATTTCACTTATTTACAGTTGTCTGTTTTTAACTTGTGAAACAAAAAGTCAGCTTTGTATAATATCTCCAAGTCTCCTTTTAGTTTACCCTTTGTGAAATCAAAATTAGTATAAGTTTGGATGATACACATTAGTATATTTGATGTGGTTGTGGTGTGTGTGTAATAAGTAGAGGAAACTGAGAGGCAATGAGACAATTTTTATCCTTTTTCACTCTCATGCAATTATATAAACATTTTCATGACTAAAAATAAAGTTTATGAACTTAGTCAACAATATCCAAAAAGGTCATGAGCATAATATTAGTCAACTGTATTTAAAATTATTAAAAGAATTATACATAATTTGGATCACATAATCAAGTCTAAACAGAAAGGGAAAGCTTCCATATTTTGTTCTCTTGAACACAGGCTGATTTATATTAAATGCTTGAGAGCTGCCTAAGAAATAATTTGGATACCCTGAGGACCTTGCACTGAGAACTTGAAGATTTCACCCCCTCTTCACTCTACTTCTTGATCCCCTTTTCATAATCTACTTTTTCTAACATATCTTTTCTTTCATTTCTGTGTCCATAAAATTTGTCTCCCCATGAAGAACAAATGTATCTCCTGTTCTTTTTCTTTTATTGATCCTGTTCTTTTTCTTTTATTGATTTTTTTTTTAAGAGAAAGGGGAAAGGAGAGGGAGAAAGAGAAACATATTAGAGCAGAATATGGATTTGCTGCCTGCTGCACATCCCCTACTGGGGATCAAGCCAGCAACCCGGGCATATGCCTTACCAGGAATCAAACCAGCAACCGTTCGGTTCATGGAAGGACACCCAGTCAACTGAGCCACATGGCCAGGACTCTGTTGTTGTTATTTAAAAGAGGATCTTAGAGAGTTTTGGAGTTAAACACCCTGCTTGGTTACTAGAGAACATAATAGGGTGTGTCGATCCTTACTCTGGTCTTCCCCATGCAGGTGTTATTGCTGAAGAAAGCAGCAATAGGTCTCTCCAGTTGTGTGCTTGAAACATTTAGGGGTCAGAAGCCAACTTTTTAATTTTTTTTTTAACAGAGAGAGAAAACTGATTTGTTGTTTCACTTATGCATTCATTCATAGTCCCTTGTATGTGCCCTAAACGGGGACCAAACCCACAACCTTGGGGTTTCAGGACAATGCTTTCATCATTTGAACTACCCAGCCAGGGCAGAAGCCAGCTATTATGTAGCTGCCAGAAATCTCCAAATGTAGTTTAAAAATCACCATCAGAACAATCATCTTAAATCTTTTGGCTCAGGTCTTAAAACTTCCTATTCAGCTGATTCCCCTGCTGTCCACTTTCAGGAACCATTTCTACAGCTAAGTGATACTACTTAATTTCAAAAACTCTTTCAAAATCAAACTAAAGGGAGAATTATTAAAACTATTTAGCTAATATAGATTACCCTGTAATAATACCAGTTGAGCCCTTTTAAAAATTTTTCAAAATAACTTTCATATCCTTTTCCTTAAATGTTATCCTTCAAATTTGTGGGATACAAAAGGATAGTGATGAACCCCATTTAACAGATAAGTAACAGAGGAAATAGGGTTAAATACTGATCTAATATTACTGACACAACTTCTTTGGGGCAAGCAGAACAGTGTGCTCTCCCCTGGACTCTGAATATCAGTCTACATGACATTAAATAATGTTACAAATAACCTATATCTCTTAGCATAAAATTGGGAGAGCACCCTTTTTGGGATAGCATAGTTTTAAAATATCCCTGTTGTGCAAATCTGATTAAAAAGATTTATCTGAGACATTGCAGGGACATTCTATTCACAGATAGTTCCTGCTTCAATTTAATTTGCTCCTAGCAGTTAAGTCAGATGTTGAGATGAGTCGGTCAATTGGCATTTAGTTCTCTCTTGTTGTTAAGTATCTGGAAACCATAAGAAAACCTTGTTTCCTCTAAAAATTTATGTTGCCCAGCTGGCGTGGCTCAGTGGTTGAGCCTCAAACTATGAACCAGGAGGTATCATGGTTTGGTTCCTGATCAGGGCACATACCCGGGTTGCAAGCTCGATCCCCAGTGTGGGGTGTGCGGGAGGCAGCAGATCAATGATTCTCATCATTGATGTTTCTTTCTTCTCCGAAATAAATAAAAATGTATTTTTAAAAAAATGCATGTTTATGTTTTTTACAATAAAGCTTCACAGATCCTTAAAGTCATTTGCCCTGGCTCCATCTCTTTGATTTATAAGGCCACCTCTGCTTTTCTAAAGAAAAGCTTCTAAATCTCTTGTCAAAAAATATTACAAATCTCAGTGTTGTTTCATATAACTGTAACCTCAGATTTAATAATCTCATCAAACTATTGGTTTGATTAAGGTAAATTTACATGGAAAATTTATATAGTAGCAATACTTGATTTGACTTTTTAAAAATCATGATTATTAGACAGAAGATTTAATGATGTATTTAAAAACATTTGTAGTTGGAATAAGAATCAGGAGATGATTTGCTGCTGTTTATACCATTGAGATCCAGCTAATAAAAATATTTGCGTCAAATGAAGTCACCAAATTCTAGATTTTTTTGTTCTTCTGTTTGAGTTGAAGGTTATACTACTTCCTCTTCACTATTGTATGTTGACTCTTTCACTGTCAATTCTCTATCTTTAAGTGGTGTTATCTCCCGCCGCCACTGCTGTCTGTTACATGCTTGCCTTTATCATCATAGCTAGACCAAACTGAAGTTCCAGTAGGGTTGTATTCCTGCTGAACTATAGATGACATTTTCATAGCTGCCTCCCTGCAATAACAGTGATTAGCATTAGCTAGTTGGCAGAAATCATCGCCAGTGTAGATTTTTCAAACTAAATCAAAGTTGGAGTTAAAAAACTCACCATCAGGAGTTGAATTCACGTCCCACAGCTTTCTTGCCTTCCTGAGGGGGAGGGGGTGGGTAATTGTGCTAACAATCAGGATCCCAAAGCTTAAGTAGCTCGGTGGCACTCTAGGTTAGCCAGTTCAGAGATGAACAGGCACAGTGAATGAGTCACGAAATGCATGGCCATGGACTAGGAATACTGAGAGCACCCCATAGTGCTCTTGAGTGAGCTCTCTGCCTGCCATTTCCAGAGTCTTAGATGAGGCAGAACCCTTTGCAGTCAATCTGTGAAGGCTAACCAGGCACCCGAACAGGAACTCCTAACCCAAAGTCTGCAGATCTCTGTTGGATACATGGATGAGTTTCAGGGAGGCCCATGAACTCTTGGAAAATTTATGCAGTTTGTATCTTAATATGCCTTTTTTTTCTGAGGAGAGGGTTTGTGACTTTCCTCAAATTCTCAAAGGTGTCTATGACCAAAATGATTAAAAATACTAGTACTATCTTTCTTAGGAGGCAGAAAGGAAGGAAGTAAAGAGGGCATGTAAAAATTGTTCTGGACTCCCAATTCCAACATGAGGGTGTGTGTGTTGTTGGGGGGTTCCCCCATACTACCAAGCAATTATTGGATACCAACCAAGGTGTCCTGCAGTTCAACTCAATTATGATACTATCTACCCAGAGTTAGCATCAGATTCCACAGGTTAAGGGCTCAGTCCCACAAGACCACCCTTCACTTCAGACACTAATTGCAAGTCCAGGTTGTCACCTGGGCTTCCGACCAACTGGCTATATAGAGCAAAGGTTCCAATGACCTCATTGGGTTGGATTGATTTGCCATAGCTACTCACAGAACTCAGAGATACTTTACTTACCTGATCACCAGTTTATTATAGAGGATATAACTCAGGAACAGCCAAATGTAAGAGATACATAGGGCACGGTATGGGGAAAGGCTGCAGAGTACCCATGCCCTCTTCAGTCATGCCCCTTCCCCCAAATCTCCATGCATTCACCAACCCAGAAGCTCTCTGAACTCTGTCTTTTGGGGTTTTTATGGAGACTTCCATGATGTAGCTATGATTTATTAAATCAGTAGCCATTGGTGATTGATTCAGCATCCAGCCCCTCTTCCCAACTGGGAAATCAGTCCCACCCCTCTCTTCATGGTTGGTTCCCCAGGCAACCAGCCCCAATACTTAGGTACTTTCCAAAAGTCACCTTATTAACTTAAACCCAATTGTGGTGGAAACAGGCTTATTATGAATAACAAGATACCCATTTCACCTTTATGACTCTGAAATAATTTCAGGAATTGAGGCCAAATTAGGGCTGAGTCTCTGCTTCATGTTGATAGGGACAGCTGGGTTTGGTGGTAGAAAACAAAAGTGGTCTTTTGGCTGTCCTGGCTCGGAAAGGAATTTTCGGTATATCCAGCTAGCTCACTATAGCTTTGCATTAGGTTTTGGGGCCAAGTCCAGCTAGTAGTAAAATCTTAGTTTTCTTTGCATATTTTTTTATCTAGTGACCTGGCAAGAGGGGTGAGGAATCAAAAGCAGGATTTGGATATTAACAGATATCTTGGGTCTTCTTCATTAAACACTATACTTAACACACTTGAACATTCCATACCAGATTAGATTCAGCGAGGCCCTTGCCAGAAAGTCTCTATTCATCTAGCTAAAATCCCAATTATTAGAAGTTCAAAATGTTACTTCTCAAAGAGTGATTGGCAAAATAAAATGAAAAGATTAGAAGCTTAACTCCATTGTGTAAGATGTTATCCATTCACTACCACCTGCCCAAATGTGGTTGTTTAATAG